TCAACAGGGTATCCAGGAATCGATCGAACGAACGATACTAGCTATTCTCGTTAGGCTATCAAGATTTTGATGCCAACAGGCAGTTCCACGGTTACTCGGTACGATTGAAACCGGCGGCGGCGGGAGCGCATGTCACGGTACGAGTACGTCGGTTCGGTAACGTTAAACGCGTGAGAGAGTTTTCCCTTCGAACAAACAAGACGTCGTCCTCGTATTTTACCGATCCCGGGTCTAATGTTAATTGCGTTTGTTCTCTGCTCGAGCGAAATAATCGGTCGGACAATAATCATACGCAGAACTGAAACGGGGGGCGGTGAACCGTGGAAATGATTCGTCCGGTGGCTCGTCGTCAGGAATGCCCACGATAATCGTGGATTTCCGTCCGCTTATTATCTTTACGCGCGTCACAATACGTTTAGATTGCGTCCCGGTGACGGCTAATTAGAAAAGTACAATCACCCCGGTTCCAATACACCCCCTCCTATCGTCCCATTACTGATTTCATATATAATAAACCATTTGTCATAGCATATTCATAAACGCATTTATATATGCTAATTCGGGAAATCAAATTTCGATAAGAATTTCCTTTAGGCCTACAATAAAATAATATTTATGAAATATCAAAGGCTTTATAGATGTACGAGATTTCGCTGTGGTTTTTTAGAATACCTTGCAAAACTTCACCATCCATTCATAAATGGAATTAGAAAAAAGAAAGTGGTATTCATCTAATCCTTGAAGATTGACGTTCATCTAATTTTGAATTTGTCATTGGATCGAGATAGGCTCGTCGTTGGCAACGAAATTCTGTGATACGTAGTCTATCCGCGATTTTACTTTGCCAAAACTCGATACCGATAACGGTATAGCGGAACCGGTTTCCCATTCTAACCGCAACACGTGTATTCGTGCTTGTCACCTAAGAAAAAGTCACGACCGATTCGTGTTCGAAAGTCACCCCGCAAAAAGTGACTCGCTTTCAGATTAGTGACCGTCGATAAGATCGATCGAAGGAAGCCTTCGAATTTCAATTAGCCTCTTTCGAGTCGAATCGATCGTTAACTCAATCAAGTCCCAACGAGGAGCGGATCGACCAGAAATTGCGCCCAATACATGTTCGATATCAGTCCCGTGATACCGTCGCGCGATAAAAATTCCTCAGCTTCATTATTATTCTCCAATCAATTCTGACTCTGAAGATTAGACCACGGACTTTCATTTAATAAAAATTTTCATTCCCTTCAAGATCATCATCGTTCATTTTGCTCTTAATGCCTCTCTATATTTGAATACTATATTTGCTATGAATTTATCAAATCAGGTAATTGTCAGTGGAACGAATAATATGTGGGATTAAATGAGAAAGAGTGAAATTGAAAAAGTATAGGTAGGTATACAAAGGGAATCGAACCGGGGATGTAGGTAGAATGGAAAGGCGTGCGACGCGACGCGTGTCCCAGACAGACGGCGGTATCAAAGAATATTTGCCCTGTCAACAACGTGCGGCTTTATGTGGAAACGCCGCTGCGTCTAAAAGGGAAAAACGATTACTTGGCCCGAGATAATAGTAATGGCCGTCATTACTTTGCTCTATTATTTTACGATCTAATGCTTGCCCGGAATCGATACGCTATCTCGCGCTCTTTCTCGGACCTCATCGATCAGCAAACAGCCATATCAACGTACCACGAAAAACCAGTCAGAAAAAATAGCATACGAAATATATAGTACAGAGATTTGCTCGAGACCTGTTACCAGAATCCACTCAGTTGTAATGTACAAAAAATTGACTATTACGTCTTAAATGGTATCACGATGACATAACAGAGATCCGAATGAAACAAACCTGATTCATTCTAATACCATGTATCTAATGAAAATGAGACATTACAAGAGGACAAACCTTATAATTTCTGTCTGATTTTATATTTTATTTTATTTCTTTGTGTACTTTTATTTACCCTTTGCACTCGTATGTCATGCTGGAGATGAAAATACATAGAATTGCAAAGAGTGCAAGGGTTAGAGAGTTCCTACAGTGTTATCTGCAACTGAAGGACCGTTGAAAATATCTTTTTAAATCACATATCTGGTATTAGAATGAAGGTGTCAAGATGTATGAATACTTCCATTCAAAGAGGAGTATTCTTAAAAATTGATGGCTTGAAAAATGGACTCACCTGCATCTGCAACCAGGAATAGTCGATGTAGGTGGTGGCGGTGGTGGTGGTTGCGGCGGCAGCGGTGATGGCACCGACGACGTTCGTCGCGGAGGATATCTGCTGCCAGTTGTCCTGACCGGTACAGCCGAGTACCGGCAATCCGTCGGGCTGACCCCGATCCGGCACTATCTGATCAGCATACTGATAGGGTGGCTGGATCGTCGGCTGGCCGCCGGAGGGCAAACTCGCTGGATGAGGGTGCTGGGCCCCCGAGCCGGCACTGGCGGGCAAACAGCACACGCTCACGTCCATCCGTGGCGGCGGAGAATCGTAGAAACGTTCCTGATCCTCCGGCACCTCTACCTCTATCTCTGGCCTCCTCAGGGTTGGCCCTCGCGGAACCATTCAACAATCTATCCCTGATTCTCTCTTCCAAGCATTTATTTCTCAGAGAAAGGCAACGCTCGGCTGTTCAAATCGTTACTCGGAAATCTAGAATTATTCGGTAATCCGATAACAAGCCTTGCTTCTATTCTCTTTGCGAAGCATTTATTTTTGAGACAACAGATTAACAGAACAGGCAGGTAACAGTGCTGTTAAGGTCGTCAATCCTAAACTCTGCTTGATTTATCAATACCAACGACCAGTAACAAATCTTGCTGCTCTTCTCTCTTCGTTTCTTATGTGATAACAAAGAAAGCAACGACTCCTCTTTTTAATTGCTAAGTTTCTTTAATTTTCCTAAGACGACGACAATGATAGTCTTCTCGGTTTGCTATTGAAACTGTGTCAGTCGACTGACCCAGCATTCAATAACACACCTTGAACAAATCTTATTCCTCTCTGCTCAGCATTTACTTCATTGCAGCTCCTATTCTTAATACTTAGTATTCTTTGATTTCCTACTTCTTGGTTCGTGAAAATCGTATCAGTCCCTAATCTTGACGATCCGACGCAGAACAACAAACCTCTTCTCTCTGCTCAGCATTTACTCATTTGCAGCTTCTATCCTTAATGTTTAATATTCTTTGATTTTCCTACGACGACGACCGTAATCTTCTCGGTTCGTTATTAAAATCGCATCAGTCCCAAATCCTGACTGACCCGCCAGTCCAATAACGAACCTTGCTTCTCGTCTCGCTATACGAACGCCGTCGTCGTTCGACGACGCTTTAAAGATTTTGAGATCTGGTACCCTGACACTTTCTTTTTGGTTGACCATGCTCCATCGCTAGTTCCTCGATCACTGTTAATCCTACTGTGTTCCACCGACTAGCGTTAGACTATCGTTCAACTGCACTACATGTTCAGTCTTGACAACGTCTATAAAGAGATTTAACGCCTCCGCGGCATTGTTTTATCTCGTTTTAACAAGAGAATTTGATTTGATTCGTCAGAAGCTGCGAGCGACACTGTCTCGTGGCACTGAAAAATTCCATACTTTCGGCAACGTTTCCTTCTTATCTGTTTGAACATCCGTTGGATCTAGTTCGACTCTCTCGAAGTGAATGAACAGACGTTGTCGTGATTTTGCGTCATATCCGAAAAAGCCTCGAACGAAGATGACGTCGACCTGCCGCTGTTCTTTCGAACGCTAAGGTACAGCGGCAGGTTTCGCGACGATGCCGAAACATCGAACGTAATCGGTACCCTTCAACGCTTCCGGTAACCTTCGCTGACGTCGCCTTCTTCAAGATTCATCGATGAACGCACCAACGTCTGCGCCTCTTCTTCTCTCCTATTTGCTTTAATTAAAAATCTTCCGGTCCCTCTTCGAAATCCGTTTGTCTTACATCATTCCGTTAACATGGCACTCCGTTGAAGGTATCAATGAATCTTCGGCGGACAACACTTGACGGATACGAGTACATGCATAATATTGTCGCACTCGGTTTCACAAATTTTCGTTCAAGGCGTTTCGTCGTGGTACCACTAACTAATCGTTGCAGAAGATGAGTTGATCGCGAGGAGGCTATACGTTTCGATACCGTCGCGCGTTATCGCGTACACCGTCGACGCATGACAACCGGACGCTCGTGGCAACGATACGCGAACCCGCCGAAGAAGGAAGAGGAAGAGGTGGAGAACGCGTAGCGTTTACGTGGGAGAGGGAAAGCGAGCAGCAAGAGGTGGAATCGGAGGTGGAGATGAAGCCGGAGGTGGTGGCAGTGGAAGTGGTGAAGGTGGAGTCCGAGATAATGTTAAAGTCGATCACTGGAAACCGGAGGGTAGTCTCATTTCAAACACATTACGATAATAGCATGTTACGGTCGTACAAATTGTTTCATACGATCTACCCTTTTATGCAAATACTATACGATCGAGAGCGTGGCGGTAAATCGAAATGAAATATGTAAGCGCACTGCGAGAAACAATCGCGGTGGACTTTTTTTAATAAGTAAGAAACGGTGGAGTAACGATGACAGTGATTACAGAATGGACGTCGTCGCTCTTGTAGGAACGAGGATGGTACCAGCGAGGCAATGGTGGCGAAGCACTAGGGGCAGTGGTTTGTCAATAGCGGAGCGAGGGTGGCGAACGCAACTGGTGCTCGTGACCGCGATCCTGGTAGCGTCTCATGCCCGCATGCGCGGCTGCGTGTCGTCAAGGCAACGGTTCCGGAGTAACTGGCTGGTGAACGCTTCGCCCTCCGCGAGACCGTGTTCCTCGGTCTACCTTCTATCTCTCCTCTCTCCCGCCTCTCCCGCCCCCACATCGCTTCCTCTCTCTCTCTTCTCCTCCACGTTTCTTTACCCTCGCGTCTACTTCTGGCTCTGCTTCTGGCTGGCTCACGCCCCAGGCGCGATCGATCCGAGTAGCCTAAGCAGCCATCAAACACGCCCCCGTAACCGAGCTCTGTCCTCTTCCTTCGTTACGAACGAACTCTCCTCTCCTTCTAACCCTTTCTACGTGTTCCTCATCCTCTCTCTTTCGTACCCGCGTCGCGCACCTCTCTCCCACTCTCAGCTGTTCACCCCGTCGCTCTCTTTCTCTTCATCTTCGCGGTCTCTCTTCTCTTTCACCTTCGAGGCAGCCGCCCTCTTTCCTCGTCTCTTCCTCGCGAGACGTTACCAGCTTTCTTACCCTAATGACTAATCAAAGATCGAAATCAAAGAGAACGATCTTCTTCTTCAATTACATCGTCAATGAATACTATGTCAAGAGTCCTCTTCTGGCGATCTTTATTTCTTGACATGAGAAGGATCTTGATCCCATGTTGAACGAGAATGAAACTCGAGGCAGAAACGGGCGACAGTGAAATTCTTTTATTCCTTCAAGTCCCGTTGCGCTCGTAGCCGCGTGATCCTTCGTCTTCTCCTTCTCTTTCTCCTGATCTTCCTCGTTAGAGAACGGGAACAGCCATAGCCGTGGCCATTCCGCCAACTCTTGTCTGACGTCATCTTACACCGACTAACATTAAGTATCTCTGTTCTTTCGTTCTCCACAGAGACCGATCGTATCGATGTACTTACGATTATTCAAATCGCGGTTGATCATGTTTTTTAATGAAACAATCGTCGAACAAAGAGACCAATTAAAAAGTAAATTATGTATTACCGTGTCTTCGCTTGTTCTCTTCTCGACCGAGATCGATCGTCTCGACGTCTTTAGGGTGTGATCGCAATTATTAAAATCACAATCGATTTATTCATAAAACGATTGATTCAACTAAGAAGAAAGAAATTTTGGGAATCGTCGACGCAGGGTTTGTCAAACTGCGCGCAGCTCGGAGGAGGCCGAGTATATTTGTGTGTGGTATATGCGGCAACAAGCATCTCGAATCTCTCCCCTCCCACGGGACGAGAGATTCCCTTTCTCTTTAGATTGTGAAACGATTTTCTATCGTGGCGCTTTAGCTCGCGGATTTATTATATATGCAACGGGTTACGCAAATTACGACAAAGTGCAAATATTTCACATGACCTGCACCTGACTTTCTACGCGCGATCGTTTAAACCGAGCGGACACGTGAATCGCAACCGGCAACCGTCTCGCGTCGCGATGAAGATTACGAATTGCTCTCCACTCACGTTAGAGAGAGCAACGTTCTTCGAACATTATTTTTCGTATTTATACACATGGTGGTATTGACAAGGCCAGAACACCGTTCATTGCGATAAATAAAGAATTTCCCTGTTCCCCTAATATCAATTAGTTCGACATATTTTTAATTCAGTTTCAAGAACTGAAAATCTATAGATAAACATAAATTCAGCCCTCAACGAAGTATTTCAAACAGTAAATTGTAAGAGCAGTGAAATGAATGAATATAGGAAAGCAGCTGAACATGTAGAAATTATCAGAAGCGAATTCATGAAGAGACAAGGGACAAAGAAGGGTTTAATTTGTACGTACAGTTACGTATGATGTATGTAGGGCATTGCAGGGTTGCATCACAGAAGATATCCCCCCTTGGAAGTACGGAAGCAATGCAACTTATGAATGGGAGTAGTCGCCCATTGGTCAGCACCGATAGCCAATAGCTGGCTGCAAGCAGCCCTCCTTACACGTCTCTGCGCCGATTCTTCCTACAAAGGATAATTTATCTACAGTAGCTACAAACATTTTATAATTGCGTTAATTCATCGAGGATATTCTTAATAAACATGACTCGAATTCATGAATCCCCCTTAATTCCGCAGATAACCCAAAAAAGTATACACGCACTTCAAATAATGATAAAGTTGGTGTTAATCAAAATTTCATTTTCATTTCATTTTCAAAATGTAGTAGAATCTACAATACACCTTTTTGAGACATCCTCTGCACTGCAACAGGTGTAAAAGAATCGTACATATGCATGCATATTTAAAAATCACATGCATACGTGTACATTTAAAAATCGTATGAATACGTGTATATTTAAGTATCCGTGCGTATATTCGCAGAAATAAGTGAATAATGGAACGAAAGATGCAGATTTACACAAGAACAAACAGATATGTGATTGTTACAAGAAACAAATGGAATACATTACAGTGACGAGGTGCTTACCTTTTGTATTGAGAAAACGCGCTATTCCTCGATGACGTACATTTCGTACTTGACTACCCAATGCTTCCATACACGCTCTCTTCTCAAAACATTATTAAATAACACTCCAAATACGACACTTTCCTATTATTTAACGAATTAATTCAACAACGTATGTAACTCGCACTCCTCACACTCCAAAATGATATCTCGATTGTTCATCATTCGATACCAGCGCAGCCAACTTCAGTTTAGTCGGCCATATGAGTATATCGATTACATTACATCGATTGTAAAAAAAATGAATAGCGTAGTAAAGATAGGACACTTTTATCCAGGCAAAATTTGGCTTCGTACTATTATTTCGTTTATATAAAAAAATTGTTAATGATTTATTTACTCTGAAACATTTCGATTTCTCTATGAAGTAGAATGTTAAATAGTGAAAGGTTTACGCAGTGGATGTTAATATATGTTCTTTTATTAAAGAGATTTATTGTGCAATTATGTATAACCATGTTCTAAGGAAAAATCTATTAAAAGTATACATTCCTCGTTGATTTTAAAAATGTTTAACATCCTCTTCCTCAAAAGTTTCTGAATCCTCTGCACGTTTTTGCCACTGACTTGGAACTTGTCTTCTTCTATTTCAAACAAAATCATATTTTATGCAATTATCTATTTCTGATTAAAGCAGATAAACTCAATGAAAGGACTAATTCGTCGTCATTCATCAGTAAAACCTGTGTCTTGCTAATTATACCTGGGATTATATATGCTTTTCATTTGTTCGTCTCTGTGCTGCATCCATAAATCATCATATGTCACACGTTTCTTTTCTTGCTTCGGCTCTTCATTTATTTCTTGTTCTTGAAAAACGTTTCTCTGCTGTATATCACTGCTGAATTCAGTTCCTTGAAACAAATTAAAAATATTTAATCATTGAAGGGACACATTCATTTAATGTACCGCTTACCAATGCTATCGAACTGGAAAGACGTATTGTCCATTAAGTCCTCTTGTACAAAAGTGTCAACAGAGGATGCAACATATGTGTCCTTGTGCTGTGGTTGATCAGACCTATTGTGAGCATCAGTAGCCCAATTCCTTCTGAAGTTGTTAAATGGAACCAACGTTGTACAATTGTAAAGAATGTCGATAAATGCGAGATAGAAATATATGGTACCTTGCCATTCCTCTGTCTTTCAATACCGGACCGAATGCTCTTTCAAAGCATACCGGGGCATAATTAAATTTCCCAAGCATATACATCGTAAAGCTAAGTACTGCCGTTGTCACATGTTTGGCATTGCCCCATTTCTTAGGAAGTAATAAATGCGATGATATTCCACCTATGATTCCCAATGGAAGAGCGGCTTTGTACACGGCATCCGACTTCATACAATCCCCAAACACTTTTAATGACTCTGGAGTTGCAGTAGGTATCTAATTGTAAAATTGCCGGTGATATTTTCCTATTCTGATTTCGGGCGACTTTCGGATCCGATCACTTACAAATTGCTGCATCCTTTTTAAGTTTTCTTCTTCCTTGTCTTGATACATCGTTTTCATATTTTTCTTATCAATATTACTTGTAGGCTAGTCGTATAACCTCAATGAGCCTGATAGCCTTTTATATTAAAGTATTACAAATAACTGAGTATTATCATATGTTAAACACACGTCTAATAACAAACAGTTAGAAATTATAATTACAAAACTATGAAACGTCGATTTCTAACTAAGAACACCGTATAATGCTATTTTAATGATATAAAATGGCCTATTATGTGGCCTAAACGGCCTAAATCACGCCACTTCGCGCCATCGAGATATACGATAAAAAATATAAACTTTATTATTCGTAC